TAGCTAGTACATGCACAGGGAATATCCCTACAAAGTTTAAGCCCCTTAGCTCGTGTGGTTCCCGAGGTCGCTTTCCCGCCAAAAAATTTGCATATTTCTTTAAAAGGCCCCTTAGCTCATGTAGTTCCCGAGATCGAGTTCCCGCCAAAAAATTTGCATATTTTTTTAAAACGTTCTACTCGCTCGTGTGGTTCCCGAGATCGCCTTCCCGCCTTTGCATATTTTTTTAAAAAGTCCGTACTGGGCAGCCAAGGTTTTCCAGGGGGATGAAATTAAAACGGGAGGGTCGCGCATGGTATAGGCACATATCCCCAAAGTTTCAGTTTCTAGCTTTTCTGGGTCTCGAGTTGAAAGTGGGTGACAAAAAGTGCGAACACACAGACACACAGACAGCCTCTTCCCAATATGCGTTTTTGCAATTTACATATGTGCAAAAACGCATAAAAACGCAGAAAATGCATATTGTTACGGCCCGATGCGTGCGTGTGTATGTTTGTGTGTGTGCATGTGTGTGTTCACCTGTCCATGTATTTCAACTCGGCAACCAAGCAAGCTCCGGCGCCAAAATTTCAGCAATGTATTCCTCCGCCACGCATAGCCCCAGGACAGTGGTGCCAATCTCCATGCAAGTCTAAGCCCGTGTTCGAACGCGTGAAAGTTTTGGCCAGAAAACTGCTAACTCGAGAGCTAGAAAAGCTAGCTAAAAGTCGAAAATTTGCGGTCATTTTCTCCGTCCAGATAGAACACAAAGATTTCAGATTCAGCGCCCAGATATATGTGGTTCTCTTCTACGGACCTGTGAAATTTTCTGGCGAAGAAAACGCAAACTTGGAAACCAGAAAAACTGAGGGGCTGAAATATTAAGGGGATGTTCCCAACCCATATACAACTTAAAGTTATCAAATTTAGCCCCGAGGTGGGTGTGGTTCTCACATACGACCCGCTCGAAAATTTTTGGCGAGAAAATTGCTAGATGGAATAGAATAGGAAGGTTCAACTTCAATTGTCCATGTCAAATCTACTACTGCACATGGAAAGAATTAAGAGATAATATTTTAGAATATGTAATATAAGCAATATTGCATGTTCATCTCTCACGTACTGAGAATATGAAGAAATGTTTGTCTGCGTTTCATCCGTTAGCTGTAAACACAGACAACTGAAGAAATGGTGGGAATCATCAGTATAGCCCCCTAACCACCATGTGAAATAGAATCAGAAAAGACAGAAAGTTGAAATTTTGAGGGAGTGTCCCCTGACCAAGTAACATGTCGTTGCACAATTAATTTCCTGAACCACGAGGACCAGTATGGCATATATTCTAGCTACTGGGACTCCAAGCAGTCTTACAACAGCACGAAATACTGCAGAAACGCATAATCGAACCGACCCACCCGATGCGCGTCGTCAATAACACAGACCGGACAACGGCTAATGCATATACAGGCTCGCTTATCTGGGTATCTGAAATAGCACTTACTGCTTTTCCACAGTTAACAATATTCGACTGTGTCCCTTTTATCGACTGGCCTACAGCGCCAAACAAACATATATAGCTTACATTTTTCAAAAATTCCCAAAACATTTTAAATGGATTTAGCTTCTGTAAGATAAATGGGTATGCGTTGCCAGCAAAGCAGTTTATATACGTTCTTCTCGCTTTGTGAGGACTCGGAGAGTGCAGTATTTTGGGAAAGTTTCGGATATATGGATCAGTGACTAAGGGCGGCTCACGAAAATCTTCGCGGTAACATTAGTTGCGCAAATGCTCTACTTAGCAATTATGAATAATTTTAGCAACTCAAATACTCCCATTGCTGGGATCTCGAACTAGAACCGAATGTCAAAATACAGTACTGATTGATCTGAATCCCCTCGATCATCCAAACTGATCTGTGCAAGAGTATGCTGGATTTTGCTGGAGGTGCGCAATGAAAACTTCAGTCTGACGCGACGCACTATTGCTCTGCTGCTGACTGTTTCTTCGAAAATGCTGTACAGCTTTGATCGCGTTTCGAGGAAATCCCAGGCTGGAGCGCATCAGGCGGACCGGTGCGATTATGTGTTTTTACACTTCTCGTGCCGTAGCAAGATCGCAGGGAATCACAGTAGCTACCCCTGTGACATACTGGGCCTCGAAATTCGGGAATTTAAATGTGCAACTATGTGGTACGTCAGTTGTAGGTGTCGACATTAGTGACTCGACAAACGGAAAATCCCTGATCCGCGAAAAAGGCCACACTAGAAGAGCTAAATTTTAATCGCACAGGAGTAGGGGACATTCCCTCCCGAGTTAGCTGTTTTCCCACCAAAATTTCCACGTGTCCGTACATGTTACCGGACGGTTTTAAAAAGCTGAATTTAAAATCTTTTGGTCATACACGAGTAGGAAACATTCTCCTACAGTTTCAGCCATCTAGCTTTTTATGCGTTTTGTGCTGTGTAACAGCGTTACAAAACGCATATTGTCACGGAGTTGTCTGTGTGTGTGTCCCACATTTTGTCCCGCACTTTCAACTCGGGAACCACAAAAGCTGGCGAGGAACACCATACCAAAATTTCAGCAGCCTAGCTTTTGTTGTTCCC